TCACCTCCCCTTCTCTGAGAGCAGGGCTCAGGCATCAGCTATGGCCTTCCCAGTCACTAGAACTTGCCTTTTCAGGGCCCAAGTTTGTAAACTTTTGTTAATTTTAATTTTTGGTCCTTCAAACGTAAGTAGTTCTTCCCAACCATCCATTCCAGACTCCAGGGAACATCAAAAAGACAAATGATTCCTCTTTCTTCTCAAAAACACACTGACCAATGGCCCAACAGACTGCCCAGTCATATGCTAATTCTGCTCTAACAACAAAGACATCTCCTGAGCCTGTCTTGTATTCTCAATACACTCCTGCCCCACAGCCATCCTGATATCCAAGACACTTGCAGAGTCTCAGCTTCTGGACTATGGAAGTCATTTCTGCCCTAATAAAGGTTGCAGTGAGGTTCTTCCAGTGGGAATTCTCTCTCATCCCTCCTCATGGTGTGGATGTTTGCTCATCTACCCACAGGCAATGGGATGTATGGCCCGACCATCCCTGCATGTGAGTGAGACTGAGATGACACCCTCCCATGTTTCCACCAATATAAACACAGTCAGTCCTGGGTGAAGGTCAGCCTTGCCTCTCTATGTGTGCCTTTATGGCTCCTTTCATCTGCCCTTAATAACCCAACACACTCCTTCCCCACCAACACCACCCCATCTGATGACTGATATCTGTTGGGTCAGGGGAAGGCACAAATACTGAGAGGAAGAACACAAAAGGTTATAAAAGTAGAAGCAATCTTTATTCAAACAAGCAACAAAGAAAAAAAATCAGTGCAAGGTACAAGAAGCTTAACAGTTAACTGGGTTCACATCCAGAGATCAGTCTTCTGAAACTGTGGCAACCTGGGCTGATTTCCAGCCTCTTCTTATAATAAAAACAAGCACCAGGGGGGTTCAAAGAGCTTTTATAACCTGGAGGTCATGCTTAAAGTCACATTACATTTTAAGTTTTACAACTTTTCATTATAGGATGTTAAGTTAGGATGTTTGGGAAAGCCAGTGGCTGATACAGTGCTGTCCCTGAGAGAATACAAGGCAGAGAGCAGAGTCACACGGGACGACAGTTAAAACTTCAGGGAATACAACAAGAGGGTCCCATGGAGGCAATAGTTAGAATCTTACTTTGTCTGCAGTAGCTGCCTAGCTGGGAAGCTGGGAGGCAGGAGACAATTGTTAAAAGTTTACCTCTGTACACCGTGGCTGCCAGGATGTCTGCTCTTAAGGCAGAAGGTGGTTTTTATATATATTTGTGTGTGTTTATGTATGCATATATACACATACATTCCCCAAATATGTTTGGGCTTAAAATTTTATATTTCCATACTCCTGGACCCGTCTATATCCTGATTTACCTACGCTCCCTATGCTAATCAGGCTCTGCTGTTCTATCTCTGAAGTTGCCCATTCCCCAAACTTCCACTGACAGACTATTTCTAAAACTGCTAGCTGAGTCAAACAAAATACACAGGGTAGGCGTATCTAATGTAATACAAACCAAGCAGTCAGCAAATTAGCACTGCTTAGCCAGACCCCTGACTCAGATAATCAGAGAGGTGTGGGGCCTGTAAGAGCTCCTCTTTTCACAACTGGATGTGATGCCAGTGGGGACGGCTGTGGCTGGAATCCAGGACTAGAAAGCAGGATGCACATGTGGTTATTGGCTGACCAGCAAATCATAGAGACCTCCTGGTTTCTATGGCTAAGCATCTCCAACTTCTTTATGTATCAATAAATGACATATATACCAAATCTATACCAATACAAAGTATTTTTGGGAATTTGGGCATCGTTCATTCTAAACTGCTCTATGCTGGATGGGGGCGCTGTCATGGGGATCATGAAAAAACATAGAAACATAGCTAAATCCTTGTTTTTGTTAACAACTCTCTTAAGAGTTGACATACCCATTTTCCAGTACCTTGCCTCTTTACCAACTCTCTTCGGAGTTGAGGTACCCATTTTCCAGTACCTTGCCTCTTTACCAACTCTCTTCGGAGTTGAGGTACCCATTTTCCTGTAGCTTGCCTCTTTACCAACTCTCTTAGGAGTTGAGATACACATTTTCCAGTACCTTGCCTCTTTACCAACTCTCCTAGGAATTGAGGTACTCATTTTACAGTACCCTGCCTCTTTCCCAACTCTCTTAGGAGTTGAGATACCCATTTTCCAGTACCTTGCCTCTTTACCAACTCTCTTAGGAGTTGAGATGCACATTTTCCATTACCTTGCCTCTTTACCAACTCTCCTAGGAATTGAGGTACCCATTTTCCAGTACCTTGCCTCTTTATCAACTCTCTTAGGAGTTGAGGTACCTGCTTTCCACTATTGTTTCTTTATCAACTCTATTAGGAGTTGAGGTACACATTTTCCAGTATCTTGCCTCTTTACCAACTCTCTTATGAGTTGTGGTACCCATTTTCCAGTACCTTGCCTCTTTACCAACTCTCTTAGGAGTTGAGATTCATATTTTCCAGTACCTTGCCTCTTTACCAACTCTCCTAGGAACTGAGGTACTCATTTTACAGTACCCTGCTCCTTCTCAACTCTCTTAGGAGTTGAGGTATCTGCTTTCCACTACCTTGTTTCTTCACCAACTCTCTAAGTAGTTGAGGTACCCATTTTCCAGTACCTTGCCTCTTTACCAACTCTGTTAGGAGTTGAGATACACATTTTCCAGTACCTTGCCTCTTTACCAACTATCCTTAGGAGTTGAGGTACCCATTTCGCTGTACTTTGTCTCTTTACAAACTGTCTGAGGAGTTGAGATATCCACTTTCCTGTACCTGGCTTCTTCACCAACTCTCTTAGGAGTTGAGGTACACATTTTCCAGTACCTAGCTGCTTTACCAACCCTTTTAGGTTTTGATGTACACATTTTCCAGTACCTTCCTTCTTACCAACACTCTTAGGAGTTGATTTACCCATTTACCAGTGTCTTGCCTCTTTACAAACTGTCTTAGGAGTTGGGGTTACCCGCTTTCCAGTACCTTGTTTCTTCACCAACTCTTAGCAGTTGAGGTACTCATCTCTTCCTGAGTTCGTTAATAAGGAATTATAGAAAAGAGGTTTTGGCTGCCACTGGCCTGTAGCACTCTCTGGTCTCCTTATATTTCATTCATATCTCTGGGCTTGTATCACCTTGTGCTGTATCTCTGACATGGTGGCCTTGGTGGTCTGCAGGTGCTCAACCAGCTCAGTGTCATCCAGGAAGCTCTACTCTGTGGCAGAGAAGCAGGGCCAGCCTCCCAGGGAGATCTCTCAGGGTCTTTCCTTTTCCCCAATCTCAGTGGAACCTCCTCTTGTGTTTCTTGCACCAGGAGCAAGTCTAATATATGTTGGAAAGCCTGGAGATTAAAATGAAAGATAAGACATTTGTGCTAAGAGAATGTAAGTCTGCGTCTCTATTGCAGGGAGAGAGCAGCCATGTATACACACTTACAGGACAGTGGAAAAAACCCAGCTGTAAAAACCCAACTAGATGTTAATGCCAGTGGGGCAAGGCTGGGTCTGTAATCCCCGACTAGAAAACAGGATGCACTTGTGGTTATTGGCTGACAAGCAACTCACTGAGGCCCAGTGGTGACTGGGGCCCAATAGAGAGGCTAACTGTGTAGGACCAGAAACAAATGACACACATTGGCTCCCAAGGCAAGGGCATCAAATGGGATTTACTTTGCATGCCGCGATTGCACCTACACTTGCTTCCCTGGAAGGAAATTTGTCACAGTCTCCTTCACTGCAGACTCAGGTGTTCTCCTGGCAGGGGAAGCATATTAATACCTTGTTCATAATACCAGGAAAAACAGAAGCCACATTCTACTCCTGTACTGCTGGAAAAGGCCCTAGAGAGGCAACCACCAGCTGTGAGGCAGCAGTAGGGCTCCAACAGGGACAGCACTGCAAACTGAACAGTCCTATTTGAAAAGTGTCTACACCCCAACAAGGGAGTCATATTTAAAAAGTGTCTCCCCCCCAACAAGCCTCTCCACTAATGCAGCAATGCAAATCAGAACAATTCAAACAGAATTAGAAAAAGCCTACATTTAATGGATACAACACTCCCAGATGGCTTCCAGCCCCCGAGTGAGGAGACTGGAAACAATGACTGGAAAAACCATGAGTTTGTTTTCTGGGGCACAGTTTAAATACCCTGTGGGAGTGGTCTTGAGCATCTCTGGGGAAGGCATCATCATTTGGCGGGCTTTCTGAGATGCAGCAGGGTTTGGAGAGAGATGGGGGAGGCGTGTGTGGAACTCCACCATAACATCCAGACTCTTTGGGTGTATGGATGCCAGGGGCTGGGGTGAAGCTTCCACCATAACAGTATTAAGGAAGACCTGACCCTCGTACAAGAAAGCATAGTCACACTACAAACTCAAACAGATTCCCAAACCACAGAGGGTGGACTTAATAACTGCTGGAAGAGGCTCCTGTGCCTTTCTAGGAGAGGAATGTTGCTCTGATGTGAGTGAACCTGGCCTAGGAATAGGATGCTAGACAGTTATTAAAAAGAATAAAACACAGAGAAAGGACAGACAGTGCTTTCTGGAAACACACTGTCTTTTTGG